GATGACGCGGAGCCGGCCTCAGCAGCTGTGGAAGCACCCGCACCGCCAACTGAGGACATAAGGTGCTATAAATGTGGCGGACTGAACCACTTCTCCAAAGACTGCCGAAGCGGTGCGAAGGATACGCATAACCGAGGAACACGGAGACGTATGCGTTGCTACAGGTGCGACAAGCTGGGCCACGTAGCAAGAAGCTGTCCGGGAAACGGGCAAGGGGAGTAAGCTTACAGCGCCAGTCTTCTCCCCAGATCGCCGCTGAACAAGGCGCTACCCGAAGTGAGCGTGCGGATTAACGGGCGTGAGCGCTTCGCGCTTGTTGACACCGGGTGCACCCAGACCCTTGTGCGCAAGGCATGTTGTGACACGTGGGACAAGAAAAGTATTCTAGTTCTGACTGTTGGCGGGGGCTCGCTAACCTCTTGTGGAGTGAGCGTCATCCGCGCAAGCATCGGCGATGGGCCTGCAGTAGCTGTACAAGCCCTGGTCGTGGACGGAGGGCTGCTCGGCTATGATCTGCTCCTGGGAATGGACGTCATCAAAAAATTGGGTGGTGTCCGTGTTGACGAAGAGGGTCGGGCGCGTTTCACTGAAACAGGTCTAGCTCTAGGTGCAGCAATGGAGCTGGAACGGCCTGACTTTCGTGCGGAGTTCGACCAGCGCACAAAGTCCTGGACGGTATCTTGGAAATGGTCAGACGATCAACCGCCAGAGAAGCTGTACAACAGTGTGCCGGAGTATAAGATCCCCCGCGAGCTCGTGCGGAGTACGACAAGGAATTGCGAGCCTGGATTAATAACGGGTGGTTGGTTCCTTATCCAGAGAAGGAATCAGGGCCCCCCAAAGGGCCTGATCCCGCTAATGGCGGTTCTCCAGCACAACAAACAAAAGGTGAGGCCGGTGCTCGACTATCGAGAACTGAACGAGCACGTGGACCCTTTTACTGCCCGCGCGGACGTGTGAACCGAGAAGCTAAGGGAATGGCGACAAGCAGGATCAAATGTATCTGTGCTGGATCTTCGCAAGGCATACCTTCAAGTGCGTGTGCACCAATCACTGTGGCCCTATCAAACCGTGCTTATCAAGGGGCAACGGTATTGCCTGACCCGCATGGGGTTTGGACTCAATGTGGCGCCATCGATTATGCAGATGATTGTTGACGCCATTCTAACGAAGGATGAGCGCATACAGCGGGCAACATCTGCATATATTGATGACGTGTACGTGAACGAGGGAGTCATATCTGCGGCGCGCGTGAAGGAGCATCTCTACAACTTTGGCCTCCTCAGCAAGGAACCGGAGAGACTACAGGATGATGCACGGGTGCTTGGTTTGCAGGTCTTGGGAGAAGATGACGTCCTGTATTGGAAACGGGGAAACGAACTCCCAGACATGCCCTCCGTTGTCACGCGGCGAAGCATATTTTCCTTGTGCGGCAAGTTAGTTGGACACCTTCCTGTAGGTGGCTGGCTGCGTGTTGCGGTGGCGTTTATCAAGCGGAGAGCATCTGACGTCACCACTGGATGGGATGACGAAGTTCACGACGCCCCTCTCAACACCATGATGAAGGAGGTCCTCGCTAGAGTACGCAAGGAAGACCCAGCGCGGGGCAGATGGTGCGTTGACAGCCAAGACCTCTGTGTGTGGGTTGACGCAAGCTCTCTTGCAACCGGCGTATCGATAGTTCACGATGGAGTAGTGGTAGAAGATGCTTGCTGGTTACGTCCAGAAAGGGACTCCCAGCACATAAACCTAGCGGAGCTCGATGCTGTCATCAAGGGGATCAACTTGGCGATCCTCTGGAAGTCGACCACCCTGCGTCTGTTCACTGATTCCGCTTGCATTTATAAGTGGATCTCTGATACCTTGACCGGGAGGGCCAGGGTGCGGACTAAAGCCACCAGCGAGATGCTTATCCGACGACGGCTCGACACGATCGTGAATTTAGTGCAAGAGTACGCACTGACAATGGAGGTGTCCCTGGTCAAATCTAGCCTCAACAAATCAGATTGCTTAACGAGGGTGCCGCAAAGGTGGCTTGACGCCGCTAAGAAAGCCATTGAGCCCGTGCAACCAGCCTGCGCTGCGTCCGTGAGTCCCGTTCGATTTAATCAAATCAAAGAAGTCCACCAACAAAGTGGGCACCCTGGAGTCAAGCGGACACTGTATTTCGCCAAGTTGGTTGACCCAGGAGTACAAAAGACAGACGTCAGGAGAGTGGTCAGAAGCTGCGTGGCGTGCCAGTCTATAGACCCAGCACCCGTTCGCTGGAAGAAAGGGCAGCTGAGCGTGAGGAACCACTGGAGCCGGCTGGCGATAGATGTTACTCACCACAACGGCGAGCATTTCCTGACACTCATTGATTGTGGTCCATCCAGGTTTGCGATATGGCGGCTGCTGCGTCGGCAAGATGCAGCCACTATCATCCATCAGTTAAACAGTATCTTCCTTGAACGTGGCCCCCAACGGAGATATTAACTGACAATGGCACCGCATTCACCAGCGAGCAGTTCAGGAAGTTTGCGGATGGCTGGGGAGTGCACCTACGGTTCCGGTGCGCCCACGTACCGAGTGGAAATGGAATCATCGAGCGGAACCACAGGACCGTCAAGACCATCGCAGCCAGGACGGGCTGCGCGGTGTCTGAGGCGGTCTACTTATACAACGTGACCCCGAAGGATGATGTCTCACCCTCTACGGCGCCAGCAGACACATTGCATAGGTACCACGTTAGAGTGAAGGGCATAGAAACCAACCCACTGACGGAACTGAAAGTAACCGGAGAGAGGCTGAAGAAAGGCGATGTCGTCTGGATTAAAAATCCGCACAGCAAGTGCACCACGAAATACGGAATCGGACGCGTCACTGAGGTGATCAGCCCACAGGCGGTACGGGTCGACGGTGTGCCCCGTCACGTTAAGGACCTGCGTCCGTCGACGCAGTTGCAACCACCGCTGGACGATGAGAGCGAATCGAATCTGAGACCAGTGAGGCATCGCTCTGGTTCACGCCAGCCCCATCAGGCAGTGACTCGGATATCAGTAGCCTTCCAAGGGACGCGGTGTCTTTCGACCCTCAGACCTCAGACAGGAGCACAAGCAACGATGAGGCTCGCAGCGTCCCTCTTCTAAGAAGTACCCGGCGCAAGCGATCACCACCTCTCTGTCAACTCTGTGATCATGAGATCAGGGGGGGAGTGTGGGGAAAATAGAAACGGCCTACCTCACAAACGTTCTCGCATCTGCCTGGCCTGTGGGTTGAGAAAGGAAAGAAAAGATTCAAAATGGCGTCCGTGACTTTTAATATTCACGGTCTCGTGCAGTCTCGCAAAGTCGCGTTACACACATGCTAATGAGGTGTGTCTGGGCTCCATAAAAGCAGGTTGCTTGGAGACATTGGCAGACCAACATTTCACCCGTGCTTGGTGTACATCTCGATGCACTGCCTGGCGTGTGCTAAGGTGTCTAAATTTGAAACCTTTGAGACTAAGTCTCGTTCAGGCACTTACCAAAACCTTGCTCTCTGTGCTTGGCCTGCGAGATCCCCAAACTTCACTGTGTGTGATTTTTTTCTTGTGGGGACACATAATAGATCGCATTTATGTTCCACCACTACCCACTAACCTCGATGACCTTAAACATCGAATAACAACAGCAATCAACTCAGTGGATCGCGATATTCTGATACGCGTTTGGGAAGAATTCTCTTATCGCATTGATGTTGCCCGTGCTGCAGGTGGTGGCCACATTGAACACTTGTAAAACAGGAAATTTGATTGTGAGTAGAATACTTGTAACTTAGTTGGAGTTTTCTATTGTTTTTTCTCATTAAAATATTGTGTATTGAAATCAGTTCATTCTTTTTGAATAACCTTTTATTTCGTAGGTTCTTGTAACTTTGCTTTTGTATAACGCAGTATATCTCAACCCTTTTAAGCAACGGCACACTTAGGAGCAAATGAAAATGTCACGGCACACTTAGCAAAAGAGAGAGAGAGAGAGAGAGAGAGAGAGAGCTGTGTGTGTTTGTGTGTGTTGGCGTTGATGTGTGTGTGCATGCGTGTGACTCATATAGGTGGAGGGTCAAGGAGAAAAAGTGGGAAGAAGGAAAAGGAAATAATTTTTTTGTTTTCTTTTTCTTTGGCAGATGATCAACATGAATGAAAATGGGATAAGTGTGAGGCTTGAGCACGTTTCTTTGTGTGTGCGTGTGTGCGTGTGTGTGTGTGCGTGTGTGTGTGTGTGTCTAAGTGAGGTTATTTAATTTGGTACTTAAGCCAAGCACGCCGCCATATTCCTGAACAGTTGGAAATTGTGGCTGCGTTTGCTTCTTTTTTTGCTGGTGAACCGGAAGTCATCCGGCATTGGACAATAAATTGCCAAGAAGAGTCACGTGGTGTGTAGTTTGGAAGATGGAAAAAATTATAGTTGACGGAAGGTACACAAGTCGATACCCGATCAGTATCGGCTGAGTCACCGAGAAGAGGGGGGTATGATGTTGAAAGACCCCCAAACCCCTAATCAACCTCGACTAGAAGCATCACTGATGATGTGTACTAAAGCATCAATAGATGTATTTTACGATATATATATATATATATATATATATATATATATATATATATATATATATCGTGAAAATATTTCGCAGCACACTTATGCGGATCAGGCGGCGCACTAGTGTGCCGTGGCACGGCGGTTGAGAATCACTGGTATAAAGAGAAGCAAGATCGCTCTCAATTTGAGACCTTGAAGTTTAATGACTGACATAAAAGTGATTTTAAAGAGAGGCGATATGCGGGTGCGGGTGTGCGTCAGACGTTGGTTGTGAGGGGAAAATGACAGAGTTAGTCAACGAGACGATTGCCAAAAGTGAAACTAGTAGAAGGGACATTAAAATTGAGACACGGCCACAAATTTCTCGGCGCCGACTAAACACTGGTTTGAGAGTAGAAGTGGAAATAAAAGCGCAATCAGAAATGAATGCAGACAGGCCGAGTCCCGTTAAGCCACGGAACGAGCAAAAGGCGGTGTAAAACAGAGATAAATGTTAAAAAAAACAAAGAGAAAATAGAGTTGGCGATGGATGGTTAGGATGGCTTGAAGTTGAGTGAAGAAGCTAAAGACAAAGGCAAAGGAAGAGGAAGAAGAGTAGAAAAATAGATTAATAGTGAAAACAGGAAAAGAAAGAAAGAAAGAAAGAAAGAAAGAAAGAAAGAAAGAAAGAAAGAGAAAAGCAGAGAGAGAGAGATGGGGGGGAGAAACATGGTCGCAAATCTATAAAAAAAGAGGAAAAGAAACAATGAAAAAGAAAATACATTCAAAGAAAAAGGAGAGAAAAAGAGGGAGAGAGATGTGATGCTAAAAGGACGAAAAATGCTGGAGCAAGCAAGAAAGAAAAAAGTAAATTTAAAGAGATACAGAAAGAAGATAAAAAATTAAAAGAAAAAAAAGAAAAATAAAGAATAGAGAAATAAAGAAGTGAATAATAGAAATAAAAAAGAGCAACAGAAAGAGGAAAATAAAAAAAGGCAGGAAGAGAAGAAAAGAACGAAAAATCAAAGTGAAATGGATGGATGAATAAATGAAAGAAAGAAAAATAGAAATAGATGAAAAGCGGAGAACAATAAAGAAAGAAAAAAACGCAAGAAAGAAAGAAAGAAAGAAAGAAAGAAAGAAAGAAAGAAAAGACGAGTAAAAGGATTGAATAACGAAAAGAAGAAGAAGAAGAAAGAAAGATTTAACTAATGGATGAGAAGAATGAAGAACGGAAAGAAAGAAGACTGATAGTGCGAAAACAAGAACGAAAAAAAGTAACAGTTAAAAGTAGTTGTGGAGATCATCGGAATGATCAAATATGTATTGTAGAGGAAAGGGTCAGTGTTTTATAAACGGAATTATTGTGTTTGGAACAAAAGTTACATCATAAAATTCAACATGAATGTTTAAACTGTGATTTAGAAAAAAAAAGAAAGAAAAGCTCTGATGTAAAAAAAAGAACAAATACAGAAAAAGAATAAAGAAAGAAAAACAAAGAGGAAAAGAAGAAAAGAAAGAAAAAATAAAAATGAGAAACAATAGAAGAGATAAAAGAAAAAAAAGCAGTGTTGAATAAATATAAAAGAAGGAATAAAGAACTTACTAAAATGATGAAAAAGAAATACAAGAAGAAAAAGAAATAAAGAGAAAACAAAAGAAAAAAATAAGAACACACAATGAAGACATGGGGAAGAAATGCATGAGAAATAATAAAGAAATAAAAACAAAGAAACAGAAAAATATGAAAGGTAAAAAAGAAGACAAGAGAAATAGAAAAAATGACAACAAATACGAGAAAATGAATGAATAAAAGGGACAAGAAGTATAGGAAAGAAAACAAAAAGAAAGGAAGTGGATTAAAAGGAAGAGAAGACACCCCCGCAAAAAAAGGAGTAGAAGAGCCACCTCGCCCCAAAAAAGGAGTAGAAGACATCCCCCCCCCACCAAAAGAAAAAACTTGGAAGAAATAAAAAGTAAACAAATAATGAAAAAAGGAGAAGAAAAAGTAAAAGTAAAAAACGAAAAAAAGTAACGGTTGATAAATAAAAAAAAAGGAAAAAAGGGAGAAGGAAAAGTAAAAAAAATGTTAAAGGAGGAGGAGGAAGAAGAAGAAGAAGAAGAAGAAGAAGAAGAAGAAGAAGAAGAAGAAGAAGAAGAAGAAAGGAAATAAAGAAAAGGTCGAAGAGAATAGAAAACACAAGCAACAGAAGAAAAGAAAAGAAAGAAGAAAAAATAAACAAGGAAAACGAATTGGAAGAAGCGAAGAAAATGAAGAAACCAAACGAAAAAAATAGGCAAAGGATGTTAAAATCATTGTCATCTACGAAGAAGCCGCGAAGTGCCTCGTAGCTCGTTGGCTCGTGTTTGAAATCCTTCTATAATTCCCATAAGCCTCAAATATCGGTGTTTGAACCCAAATAGCAGATAGGGTTTCAAATATTGAAAATAAGCCGGTCTTCCTCAGGGAAGATCAGCGCAATCTTTCAACTTCAATGTCGCTTCACACTGTCTTTTGCCAAACTAATGATCAGTAAAACGCAAGAAAAGAGCAATAGTGTTCTAAAAAGAAAAAAAAAAGTAAAAAAAAGGACAGAATGGTTAGTTATTTCGCTTGGTTAAGTCTGGAACAAGGCTGCAAGTGTAGCGCATCCACCGAGAAGAAGAGGAATAATCAGGAAACAATGATTCGGGTTTCACCGTGTATTTTCAGACTAATTACGACTGATAGAGTCCCTCTATTACGCTATATATAGGGAACGAAATGAAAGAAAGTCAAAAAGAAAGAGAAAACAAAAGAAGATAAAAAAGAGAAAGAAAAAGAAAGGAAAATAAAGAAAAAATTAAAAAAGAAAAGAAAAAGTTGGAAAGGAAAAGAAAGAAAAAAACGAAAGTATAAGAGAAAAAAAGGGAAAGCAGAAAAGAAAGAAAAAAAGAGGGAAGGAAATTAGCGAAACAAAAACAAAATTCAATAAAAAGAAAAAAATTGAATGTTAAGGGAGTTATAGCAACAGAGCATTGGGGTGGTGGCGGTGTGGTGAGGAATAAAATTGGTTGCCGATAACCTTATCTTTCTCAAAAAGGCAACTGCACCATTCTTGTCTTTCTGATTATGTTTGTTTGGAGCAATTAATTGACGCTTAATCCGCAACGCTTCGATTCGATATCTCCGTTTCGCTTTTTGTATTCACCGAATTTTATTTTCCAGATAAAAATCGCGACTTCTATGATTTTTAAGTCTATTTTCTATTTTTGTTTTTCGTGGGAGTGCAGCTTCTTCTTCTTCTTCTTCTTCTTCTTCTTCTTCTTCTTCTTCTTCTTCTTCTTCTTCTTTTCTGATAGAGCAAGTAAGGCAAACAAACAAACCAAAAATGATAATCTTCGAAAGAGATCACATAGATACAAACTAAGACAAGCAAACACACGCAGGCGTGTAACACTCACACTACAGACATAACCATACGTATCCACAAACACATATTCTTGCTCCCCAGAAAGGAGGAAGACAAAGTATAAATTTTAATGACGATGAGGAAGATGAGAACGATAAATATAACAAAAGCAGCAACAACAGTAGACTTGTTGTCACTTGATATTCAGTGAATGCCATCAGGTACAAATAATGGAAAAGTGCAATGCATACAATATAAATATAATGATGCCAATAAAGACCAAGAAAAAACATAAATCAAGTCTATATCAATTATATTTGCTGCTCAGAGGCTATCTCATGGGTCTGAAAATTATAAGATAGGACTTAGCTTTTGAAATTACGTCAATGCTTCCCAAACCTTTTCTTCTTTGGGCCGCATTTTCGGAATGAATCCCACTTCAATAAATATTATTTGTTAAAAAGTACATTTAAAAATAAAAAATAAAAACAGAAAGAGAGAGAGAGATAGAGATAGAGAGAGAGAGAGAGAGAAAGAGAGAGAGAGAGAGAGAGAGTTAAAGGGAGATAACTGCGGATTCGAAGTCAGAACATTATCATTGATAACTCTCTTCCAATTTGCGGGGCTTAGTTACTATATTCTTAATACTTGATATAATGCAAAAAAATAGGTCAATAATTATTTATAACTCTTTATACTGGGACTCATGCATGCAATTACAAGTAATCTATAATAATATTTTAAATTGTGAAGGCATATTTATTATTGGCATATGCAACTGTTTTTAAATCTTCGATTGTCTTTCAGTCATTCCGCCTCACCTGTTATCCTCTTCTGCTACACATATGAAGCGCTTTGGGAAACTGAATTTAATTTACACTAATGTACTTCCCTTACATCGTAAATGGCAGCTATATATGAACTTCCCTTAGATCTTAGATACTATTCTTAATACTGAAATGAATTCTCAAAATACAGTCTACTTTTTATGTGCTGTGTCCCTTCAGGGCGTGAGCTAGGAAGGCTATCCACCGTTTCCTATCCTTTCTAGCTATTTGTAATATTTTTTTCTACTTCCTGTTTTGTCATCCATTTATACAAACTTGTTAGGTCTTGCAAATGTCAGATTCTCCAAGTCCCCTTTCCTCATTATAAATCCCAAAAATGTCAACTACCTCTTTCTGATTCAAAGCACAAATGTTCTTTTTCTTTCAATTTTCCTTAAAACTTTTGACTTGCTCACATATTCACTTCATGGTATTTTACACATTCCTGAAATCTCTTCATATGTGACGAAATATCTTTTTTAATCAATTCATCCCAAGCAAGGCGATAATTCCACTAAGACGCAAGGGGTTACTGGGGGTGAAAGAGTAAAGAGTTTATAATAAACAGGAAACCCAATTCAAAAAGAAGTGTGAACCACACGGTAGTCGAACTTATCTAAAAACTGTTCACCATTCATTGCTCAACTATTTACAGAGAATACAAAATTTTTATATATGAAACCGGGAATCTCTGGCAGCAAGAGGACTTTTACAGAAATGAAAATATGTTAAAAGAAAGCAGTTATTAGACAGACGGTCACAAGTTGTTAAGGTTTGTGGATGAGCATTCAGGGCATTTCATTCATACCAAAGAACTGAACAGAATCAATGTTAATCATAAAGAATGTAACACTGTCGTTTCATTTGTTTGATAACTGAATCGAAAGTAGAAGGAACAAAGAAGAAAATAAAAATATCGAGTTGGTGGCATTGAGTGTTCACACAAGATCAAATGATAGTAACTCTTCTCAATAATCCAACATTTTTCCTCACTCTTCCTCTGGCCGAATTCACTAGTGCCATACCCTGTATTATCTTGAACTTCCATCTTTTTCGATAGAATTTATGAATTTCTTCCCGCCACTCTAAATATTACTACTTCCATAGCTTCTTCTAGCGAAATGCAGATAATAATTCAGTTTTTTGTTTTCTGTTAATTTTACTTCGTGTTTTGCTGAAATTCATAATCTGACATGATTTTCTTCCTGATCTCGATAATTACCTTTGGTTTTCTAGTCTTGATAATTGCATCTAGTTTTCAAGTTTTAATTCTCAAAATCCCAGAATGTTTTGTGTTCATCATTTTCTGAGAAAGATTTTGACTTGTACATATATCATTGGTATGTAGAGCCGTTTGCACAGTTATCTGCGAATAACACTTTCTACCCAGTCATATCTATTTATATATGCTTTCTCTGCTAATTTGCTACATTCACTTTTGTAGATGGTTAAAATCCATTTTCTTTATTCTCTTGTATTCTATGTATTTATGTGTTTTTTTTTTCCGTTAGGTTCACTCTGTATAAAGCCCGGGGAGCCACTCGAGGTAGAGGGTTACTGATTAAGTGGCATATTTTATGTGGACATGTGCGGAAGGTAAAGACTAGCCCTGAACTTGAACTGGTTAAGATTGTAGTGATCGTGAAAACATCCTTTTGGAAGTCAGTTTTACAATGCGCGTAGCATGACGGGTCGTAGCTCTAAAGGCTAGAACTGGTGGACTATCTGTTATATAGATGGTTATAGATGGCGATGTTTTAGGCAGTTACTTGCATTATATCTCCCTCACGCAGCCATATTCGTGTAGTTTCTCTACAGAAATGTCTGTCATAATTATTTGTTTTGGGATTTTCGTTTGCAGGTGGCCTGGGTTCCGTTTTGTTTTTTCTATTAAATCTCATGTAAATTTTGGCTATTGTAATTAATTCTTCTCTACTTTGCGCCTTGTGTAAATCACAAGCCCCTTTGATGAAGGAGGCAACACGCTCATCGAAGCTAATAAAACCACTTCGTCTCTTTCTTTTCCAGTCAGCATCCCCTTTCAATCTTAACGTATCAAGCTTCCTTGTTTTATGATGTAGTCAGTTTCGAATTATAATTATAGATACTGAAATGCTAACCTTCGCAATGTCATATAGCCTCCTCCTTAAAGTATTTTTATTATAATTATCTACAAATGATATCACTAAGATATTATTATACTATTATCTCTAGCCAAATTCAAATCAGTATCTTATAACGTGTATTTGGTCACGTGATTCCTCAAGATGCGCTTTGCCACGTGTTTTTAACTAATCACATCTTGTTACTGAATATAAGAGGGACATCCTTTGATCCTGTTATCCATGACCTTTTTTTATGCCACGTAGCTAAATACCTTGTTATATGAAAGACGCTGTCAACCGCTTCTTTTTTTCTTCATTGTTGTAGCACTAAAGCAATTAGACATATATAATATAAGGTGAAACTTGTTTGGCTTTGAAAACAGGTGACATAACATCATGTCAACATACTGCTATTGAAATATTCGGTTAAAATTTACATTGGAATTCTGTTTTTAATGTTTGTAATAATTTCAATGAATAATTTAACTTTTTAATAATATTTTGACAATAAATTCAAACAAAAAAACAACAATTAAATTTAAGATTTTCTTTTAATTTATATAGCATTTTAAGAAGAGAGTCATTACTTTAAATCTACCAGGCTTTGATGCATTTTAAAATTTGCATATATTACGTACCTATCAGTCCACCATTCGTCCATGGTTAGAATACTACATGTAGTCCGGTACCTCTGTTATTGAGCTATTTGATAAAATCCAAAGAAAAATCAGCAATATTATTCGTCCTGATCTATAGCGGCATGGCTTCAATCACTTTCCCACCGCCGTAAGGTTGCCTCTTTGTGTCTTTTCTATAAATACTTTCATGATAATTGTTCGAATGAGCTCTTCACTATAGCACATAGACTTTTTGAAGTGCAGTACATCAATTTACAGTTGAACTGGCTAGATGTAACCGTAAATTCTATGCTAACAGTTTCTTCTCTCGCACTTCTCGCTTGTGGAACTCCTTTCCAGCTATATGCTTTACAGCCAACTTTAATCTGCAAAAGTTTCAGTACAATGTCAATCGCTATCTACTGTCCTCCTGATTACTCTTTTCGCTTTCTGCTCATTATTAATGTTTCTGTTCCTAATTCTTCACATCCTGTAACCTCTTGTGTCTTAGTGGCTTTACTACCTTTTATGGGGTGATACTGATTAAAAAATATTTTTTTACGACGTTTATTTTAACAATCTGATTCTTTATCTAAAAAAATAAAAGAATATTGGAACCTTTTCAAAACTATCTCCGTATCAAGTAAAAGTAAAAATTATTTACATTTTTTATATTTTAACTGAACAGCCGTTACTTTAAAAGAATAATTTTATTATTTAAAAAATGGAAGAATAACCGATTAAGTGAATATTATATTCTTTGTTCGTTTCTTTTTTCTTTTTTTAAACTAATAATGTTGTAGCAAATCTTGATATGATTTGGGATCAAATATAGTCCAAATATGGATCGGAATCCGACAGAATGCTAAGATAGAGATCAAATAGGAAACGTTTCTCAATCTAACATGTCTCACTTTTATTGAAGCTTCCTTAGACAATGAGATATGGAGACAAAAAACAAAAACAAAAAAAAGATGGTATTTTTATTTTTGTCTTGTTTGATTTTCATTGGTTAATCATGTTTTATGTACACAACACAAATATGATGAAACTGAGAATATCTTCTTGTTAAACAAAGGTTAGTTTAATTGGCTGTTTTTATCTAAAACAAATGGTTTGTACGTAAAAACGTTCCCAAATCCACATGCGAAAAACCACCAATCATAATATTTACACACACACGCGTGTGCACACTATTACGAATATACATTATCGTCTGAATCCCACATAGACAAACTATAATTATTTTACTCTTACATAGATAAAGCAATATTTACGGTTTTTAGGTGTAATTCGTTAATTTGTTGACATTTAGAGTGGACGTAATGACTCTGCTTGAATTCGGAACGACGCAAATTATACTAACGTTTGTTTAACAAGTCAAATGCGCCTGAAACATGATTAACCAATAAAATCAAACAACTCGAAAGTAAAAATACAGGAATTTCTTTCTTCTGTTTTCTTTTTCTCCATATCTCATTCTTTGATGAAGTTTTAATTAAAATGAAACATGTTAGATTGATAAACATTTCCTATTTGTTCTTTATCTTATCAAACAGATTTATGCAAATGAAACGAATATAAATAATCCCGCAAATTTTTCTTTGTTTGCAATTATTTGAAATAATTATCCATATTTTTTTCCTAAATGGTGTTGAGACTTTAAAATAATGAGAACTTTATTCCGCATTTTTTTAAAAAATTTTGTTATAAAAGCTTCTCCAAGATGATGTACAAACGTTAAAATTATTTATTCCACCATGCACATAAAAATGATCGTTTTTTAAAAATAAATCATGACAGAAATCAAACTATGTTCTTGGGTTCAATTGCAGGGATGAGGAAACAAGAAATCGTTTCTCTTGTTTTTTTCCCCTATTGCAAGTTCACAAATAAAAAGGGGCGTTTAATTAAATGCTCTTCTGTTCTGATGAAGAAATATAATTGTCAGTTTTATGGCAAAGTCATAGAATTGATTCACACATTTCCAGAATTGCTTGAAAAAAATTCCGTTTACCTTGTCATTTCTATTTAGGAATCTTTCGCACGTTTAATAATTAAAATCTGACAGGGACAGGAAACAATTATAATTACGTAACTTCCTTTAACAATACAAATGGCAGCAGATTCCCCTTTAGGAAGTTTTATCTGACGTTCAAATTAATATTTTGATTCTCCATATTGACCAAAATTTTATCATTATATTCCAGCCAGGTTATCTATGGTTTTCCTGGTTTATGGCCCTTAGTGCCGTCTATATTAGCCGAACTAAATGGACGCATTTTCCAATCTCACTTAAAAGTTTTCAGGCGAACGCGAATTTTCGATATTCGACCCCATAAATAGACTTTTCTGTTTTATAAATGAAATGAAGCACAAAACAACGTCTAAAGTCCACGTGATAGAGCGTATATCTGAAGAAGATCAAAGAACGTATCGGCTGAAACGTTGAGATGAAAAATTGTTAACGTTGATTCTTTAACTATTACGCATAATTATCGTCTTATATAGGTTTAGGTATTTACGATCATTTACTTTTAATATTTTTTTTTCTCTAGAACCAGTAAGAGGCATTGAAAATCCTTTCCAATCATCGCGACACAATGGCTTCCCTTTTGAACACTCTCGTCTTTCCTGCAGTTGTTTACTTGAGCCGTTGCATGTCACGTGACCTGCTATCTCGAGCGGTGCGACGAAAAGTCAGTTATTTTCGGCACTCACATCTCTCCTCAAGTATTGTGTGTTCAGTGACATTTGGTTTTTCCTGTTTGAGTCACGCACACCGAAAGCAATGGCAGAGACGTACATTTGCGCGGGAAGAGGAACATAAAACTGACACTAATAACCGAAGCGAACCATTCCGCTCAATCTGCTCACGTTTGAGCGCTTTCCATAGAAGGGAAGGAGAACTCGTAGGAGAAGGGTCGAACGGTTTGTTACTAGCGATAATTTACAAGTTTCTTCGGTAGATACCCTGTCGACCAGAATGTCCAAAGAGATCTAGAGCCTTTTCTTTAATACTGGTTCCACTCCTTTCAAAGTAGCAGGGAGTTCTTCTAACCTAATTTCATGAAAGAAGAACATTATCCAACACTGCTCCTGTTTAGTGATATACGTTAAAAGATTACTGAACTGTTACGTGATATCTGTCCTCTTGTATAACAGCGGATGCTGTACAATCTCCTCAAAGATGAGGAAAAGATTTGAAGCAACAGAAATGTGGCTCTACAGAAAGCTACTGAGGATACCATGGACCGAACATATGAGCAACAACGAGGTTCTGGAGAGAATGGAAACAAAAATGAAACTTACTCTTAACATCCAGAAGAGACAGTTGAGATTTTTTGTACGCGTAATGAGGAAGGAAGGCTAGGAAAAAACTGATATTCAAGAGAGATTGATGGAAAGAGGGAAAGAGGAAAACAGCATGTAACATATACTTGATGAGCTGGGGCGCCTCGATGTGATGTAATGGTTAGCAAGCTTGTCTCGCTAGAACAATTACGACTGAGTAGTGAGTTCGATCTTTACTGGGTGCTCCATACTTCCGGCCTTGTGCCACATCTAAGCAGCGCTTAGAAAATCCCTATACTTGATGAGCTTGAGTAGTTGGTACAAGGTTTGGGTTTCATCTCATATCCTTTCTGTTCGGCTGACGGACAAGGTGTATAAAGGCGAGATTGGCAATCATTCAGTTGTACTCGATTTGCAGAAACTGCTTTTTGTTGTCAAATCCTCGTGTGTGAAACAGGAGTTATGGATCTCGGAACCAAAAATACTTTTGTTAAAGTATCACTAATGGTATCATGTGAGTGGGACATAATAGTGGAAGACAGAACTTACGGTTCAAGTAAGCAGGTGTTCAATGCATATGTAATGCAACGGATATAGGTATGAAATGTGGAAACGACGAACCGAGATCAAATTACGGGTTAGTCTGTCGTGATCAGTTTTCGCATTGAAAAAGAACATGATTCTATTGCTGCTCCTCCATCTATGGATTAAATAGCAGGGTATACAGGTCTCTCCGGCCTTGGTTGGCAACCAGTCTAAGCGGAAGAAAACTCTGAATATCAAACTGTGTGAAGAATCTAATAAGAAGCCAACCTACTATCTTTCGGGTGGCAATTCGCAGACAATAAAAGAAGAAAACGTTTTGAGGGTCATGATCGCCTGCGCCGTGAAGAGTCACTGTATAAACGCCGAAGCTATTTGTGGAGATATGATATAAATATGAGTGAAAAATAATGGAAGATTAGTTATTTGTTATACTGTTAATCGGATACAAATATGAGTGGCACAGTGGAGTAATGGATAGCGACTCGGATTGAGAATCGGAGAGTCGAATTCCAGTCGAATCCATTACATTCACTTACGTGTTAATAGCATTGGGAAAGGTATGAATCCTTTTCTTCTCCCTCAGCTATGGGTAAATAACAGGACAGACCGTGGCATTTGGTCTACCGCAGAAATAAATGGCAACCTACTGCGGGAAGAAATCTGCCTCGTTAGTCATGTATCGAAAGATACATGATCGCCTAAGCCTTTATCACGCATGACATATAACTGACTGATATCGAGAAAGAGAAAGATGGTAGAATAGGTAGACAGAGAGTGAGAAGATATATAAACACATACACACACACACGGTAATGAGAGCCACAAAAGTGGTAGATATATCAAGAAAAAGAATAGATAGATAGATAGATAGATAGATAGATAGATAGACAGTGAGGGTGGCGTGGAGGTAGCGAGAAACAGAGAGAGAAAGAAACAGAAAAGACAAATAGAGAGAAGTTCACTTCAAAAATAGAAGCCTTATTTTGTGCACGATATAATATTAATTGTGCTGAAATAAATATTGCTTTTTAGTTTTTGATCTATTTTTACACTACACCTTTGTTTAGAATCGGCCAGAAAATTTAAGAAAAAAATAAAATAATTGAACTAGAAATATTCAAGAAGCAAACAGAGATATTCAATCGTTCTTGAATTGTTTGGTGCAGATTTCAATGGGGAGAAATAACAATGGAACAAGGAAGGACATTCCGCTAAGAGGCGAGAATGAAGAAATTGGAAAAGACGGAAAGAAATGATGCCAGAAAGAGAAGACAGGAAGGGAATGAACAGATGGCGCGGGAATAGACGGAAGGAGATCTGCAAAGAGCGAAAAAGAATAAAAAAAAAAAAAAAAGAAAAGAAAAGAAAATGAATATTGCCGGCATCCATAGAAACTGATGAACTAAAAGATATGAACAAACTGAGAAAGAAAGCTATGAGCAGAGTATAAATTATATACTGACATAGACTGATAGATAGAAACGATCAGCGACAAATCTGAACGGGCTGAAATCGTAGACATGAAAAGACTGATATATCTCTACTTAGTGCAGTTTGCTCTGAAACAAAACCATCATGGTGGTGTATCCGTGGAGATTGAATTCATTTCACGGGCGAAATATTCTGAGTGACTCGAGTATTCGCCATCACGTTATAAACATGGGTGTAGAGGTACTAACGGAGATAGATAGATAGATAGATAGATAGATAGATAGATAGATAGATAGATAGATAGATAGATAGATATAAACAGACTGGGATAGATAGATATGAACAGACTGAGATAGATAGATAGATAGATAGATAGATAGATAGATAGATAGATAGATAGATAGATAGATAGATAGATAGATATGAACAGACTGGGATAGATAGATATGAACAGACTGAGATAGATAGATAGATAGATAGATAGATAGATAGATAGATAGATAGATAGATAGATATGAATACACTGACAAATCAATGGATAAATAGATAGATAATGAATATACCGCAATATATAGGTCTGTCTATATTTCTGAGATTGTAATTATTTACACTACTTACAATGTTCGGTCTGTTATCCTCATCTTTGTTGCCATATTCACGACGTTTCGGCCGTTGTATACTCCGGCCTTCTTCGGGTGATTGGAATTTCAAACCGAACCCTTTATTTCAAATACGGGGTGCTAGAGAAAATTAATAATAACAACAAAATTGTAATATGAGTTCTGGTAAAAAAAATGAACTGAGACATTAGGTTTATAAGTCCCCAAAATTCATACACTTCAAAAATTCAATTCAAAGACACACATGACCCAGTGGGTAAAAACGCTGGTAATTCAGTGACTTGAGTCAGTTCAATACCTGCTACAAAGGTAAACAAAAAAATTGAAGAGTTGAGTTAAACTGATAATGAGATATCTGGAAGAGGCACATGGAACTAGAACAATCTGTCCCGGTGGATGAAATAAAGGATTTAATTTGAAATTCCAATCAACTAAAGGCTGATACGTACAACGATTGAAATGTCGGAAATGTGGCAATAAAGATGAGGATTGTAAATACTGTAAACAGATAGACAGATGTGGTAAAGTGGCTGGAGGTTCTTAGAAATATTTATCGAAAACTTGGAAATAAACAAACAAAATCAAAGGTATTACAAAATAATATATATTTATTTGACTTCGACTGGCTAATTTGGGGTAGCGAAAGTTCCTTTTGGGTACAAGAAGTTGTCATCTTGTTTGCTGCTATCGGGAGTGTGATTACTTTGGAAATAGGGGCGGCGTCAATCTGCGTGTATTCTCGGCCCTCAGAAGGGCGGAAAAATGGTTTCCTTACGCGACACACTTGGCTGGTTTCTCTGGCGGTTCATTCTCTGTCTCTGACTGTTTATATACCTTAAGAAAGGGTTATAGACGACTGGCTCCAGACAACAAAAGCTTGGTTTCAGCTAACATCAAAAGTCTCTTTGTTTTTTTTTTTTTGTTTTTTTTTTGTTGGGGGGATTGACAAAAATTCTATTATTTTCCGGCGTTTCTTTCCTTTTTATTTTTTATTTTTTTATATAGCGGTTGTAATGTGCAGAACCTCTCTTATTTTGATAGATTTCTAGACAAAATAGCTAGACCCATGGACCAACAAACTTCCGCTGTTTTGCAATCGTTCAGTCTTTTCTTCTTCCCCCTCTTTTGTATTTGAGGGCTGCCTTCTCATTATGTATATAGAGAGAAGGATACAAAGATAAGAATAGAGAGAGAGAGAGAGAGAGAGAGAGAGAGAAAAAGACAGAAAGTGATAAGGGTTTTAAAGGAAAGCAAATGTCTTATTTTAATTTTAATTTTATGTTTTTGTTTATATATCTATTTTCATATATGATTTGATTTTACATTTGCATGTAAAAGAAAAATATCAGGCTGATCATATATATATATATATATATATATATATATATATATATACATACCAAGATAGATATGATCAGACTGAGATAGGCAGATAGACAGATAGATTGGTTTGTTAATATATATTACATTATTTCTTTTAAATCTATATCTAAAACACCCATTCACTCTATCATCTACATATGTATTTAGCAAACTGAGATATATCGATAAATAGATATATAGATTTAAAAGAAAAAATGTAATAAATCTTAAGATACTAAGTTAGACCAGTCTTATATATATATATATATAGAGAGAGAGAGAGAGAGAGAGAGAGAGAGAGGGAGGGAGGGAGGGGGATGATCAGGCTTAGTTCCATATACATAGATAGAAGATAATTATAAATACGATTGTGTTCAGCAGCCTACCAAGATTTTAACGATTTCAAGACAAGAATTCTTTGTAATTAAAATATCTAATATTAAGAACTGGAGCATCAATAGCAAAAAAGGGAATATATATTGAAAATTTAATTTTTGTTACTAAAATGAATACAATTTAGGTAGTCTTAGTGGTTGCTATGGAGTTGGAGTAAGTACGTGTTGCATCCACTTTAAACATCCATTTCAAATTTTGCTAGCATTTTGTGTTGGTTGCTTAAAATTGAGTCACTCTAATTGAATGTCATTTAATAATAATTATAACTCCGCCTATAAATCGGTGTTAAATTCTGTTTCCAGTTTTGTTTCATTCGAAGTCAATCGTTCTCAATACTTGCAAAGTTATAGTTGCCTATGGCTAACATGCAAATCTTGTACCATTTTGCAGCATACTTAATTCATGTCAGACGCGTGGGAACTTCATGACACACACGTTCTTCTCATAGAACTCATTTCTTTGCAGGCTACGTGATAGTAAAGTTAATACTGTCCAATTGAATAGATTAATTGACGTATATAAACAGATTAAGACAGACACAGACGGAGGCAGATATTAATGAACAGGTTAATAAGAGAGAGAGAGAGAGAGAGAGAGAGAGAGAGAGGGCAAGATTCATACATGAATAGACTGGAGTAGATATGAGCCAATCATCATCGTCGTCAATCAGTCAGACCACGGACTATCGACAGTCGCGATGAACGGATGTCCCCCCACCCAGAAGACGCCATGCTTTGAGAGAATACTGGGCTTCAAACACACACACGACTTCATGCTATCCTCGACCTTTATAAGAGTCAGGTCAGGCCAAAAATGGAGTACTGTTGCTACATTTGGGCGGGAGCTGCCCAGTTCTCATTTTCCAATCTTGATAAAGTTAAAAAGCGTCGTCGGGTCTTTATCGGAGAATAAATATTTTCCACGCTCAAACCTCTCTCTCTCTCACAGGCGGGATGTAGTGAGCCTCTCACTGCTCTGTCGCGACTATTATGGAAAGTGTCCAGACGAACTACATTCCTTGGTTCCGTCAGGACTAACCTTCACGGCTAAGACCCGTCATACCACTTGCATATTGACAAACCACCCACATTCCCTCTGTATTACATCGGCAAGAAGTAAGTTTTACTTAAACAGCTTCTTCCCACAAACCACTCCCCAGTGGAACAGACTCCCAAGAGGATATTTCCCCGGTCACTATATGTTCAAGTCTAAAATTAACCGTTATCTTCCTCTATCCATATAAACTACCCCTTAACGTAACCGTCTACCACGAGTGGCCCTCGGGCCTTATACAGAGTGAACCTTATTTTAAAACAAAAATCATCATTTTGGCTATTTGACCGTAGAGGTACCATAGATGACTTGGCATTCAGCCTCTCTCCCCCGCAAACCTTCCTTAGTCTGTCACTCAATCTTGTTCTGTTATCATTCTTTTTCTCTGTTAGTCTCCTCCCATTGCCTGACATCTTATAGGATTGTCTTGGCAAGCCTTAATTATCGTCAAACTTCCCCAAACCATTTTCATATTTCTGGGTGGCTTCCCTTATGTCTTCATATTTTTGGGTGGTTTGCCTGATGTTTTTGACTTCTCCTTTGGTGATGTCTTTTCGAAAGCATCTATTTTTAGCCCGTATTTTCCATATATCCATTGTCAAATCTCACGATACATAAGTCTTACAAGAATATTACGCTGACCTGAGCGTGTTTCAGGGTGACATTTGAGTTGAATGTTTCTCTCACACTCGATGACCTTCAGTTTTATTGTTACTATTATTGTCTCTGCAATCCCGCACGGTATTTGCTTCCATTTTTAGCATATTATTAAGTTGATATTTGAAACTAGGAAATGTTACAAACTTCAAGATGGTGACTCCCACGTACGTGCTGGTGGACTTATTGGTCAATAGTTTATCTTCTAGACATTGGATTTTATGCAGAAGATTCGTACAGGTACCCTCCCGCTCCCCCAATTAAATATTTATTTCTTTTTCAATGCAATGAAAAAAGTGGGTACATTAACCCGACTGTTATCCTGAACGTTCTTCGATTAAGCTTGGACTGGTGAACTTGTTACCAAGGTTACTAGTGATTCTGATGTTTTTAGCATTGATGATGTACAACCACATGGTCAAGCATAAGGCAGGGTTAGTGTTAACTCTAACGCTAACCCCAACTCTAACCCTAACACAATCTCTAACCTTAGCCCAAACTCTATCCCTAACACCAACTCTAACCCTAACCCAATCTCTAACCCTAACAACAACTCTAACCCTAACCCAAACTCTAACCCTAACCCAAACTCTAACCCTAACCCCAACTGTAACCCTAATCCCAACTCTAACCCTAACACCAACTCTAACCCTAACACCAACTCTAACCCTAACCCCAACTGTAACCCTAATCCCAACTCTAACCCTAAGCCCAACTCTAACCCTAACACCAACTCTAACCCTAACCCAAACTCTAACCCTAATCCCAACTCTAACCCTAAGCCCAACTCTAACCCTAACACCAACTCTAACCCTAGCCCAAACTCTAACCCTAACCCCAACTCTAACCCTAATCCCAACTCTAACCCTAAGCCCAACTCTAACCCTAACACCAACTCTAACCCTAGCCCAAACTCTAACCCTAACACCAACTCTAACCCTAACCTAAGCTCTAACCCTAACACCAACTCTAACCCTAACCCAAACTCTAACCCTAAACCCAACTCTAACCCTAACCCCAACTCTAAGCCCAACTCTAACCCTAACCGAAGCTCTAACCCTAACACAAACTCTAACCCTAAGCCCAACTCTAACCCTAACCCCAGCTCTAACCCTGAGCCTAACCCTTTTTAAATAGCTTTTCAAAATCCACGTAAGTGTTATTGAAGATCCCACATTATATTCTGAAAGTGTTGAGCTGTTCTATTGTGCTACAGCCAGTTCAGAACGGACTTGAGTAAGATATTTTTTAAGGATTTTGCCCCAAGCAAGGCACGAGTGCCACTAGTACTTAAAGGGCTACAGAGTGTGAAAGTAAGGGAAAAGACTGGGCATAGGGGGTGGGGATTGAGGAAAGGATAAAAAGAAGAATGGAGATCAAGGTATCAGAAGATGTCGATTGACATTACATTTAATTTTTTTATCAGGGAAGCAAATAAGAGGAAGGGAGTTCCACTGTCGAGAAGTGCGAGAGAAGAAGCTGATGGAGTAGAGGAGGCGGTTACATTTAACTGTTTCGACAATAAAAGTGTGGGGCCGAGATGCGAACCTAGTGGCACGCTTAAATTCATGCATTCGAGACAGTAGTGAAAATAATTCGTCAGTGCAGTTGCCATGAAATATTTGTAGAAAAGCCTTTTTGAAAGCCTGCATTGCTTTCTTTGTCTTTGTTACCTCGTTGTTCTTCATCTCTCTCCATTTCTTACACAAACTAAGGATTGCCAGGAGTGACCTAAGGTGGGCTTTTCTGCTTGTAGCTTCAATCAGTTCGGAAAGATTTTCAACACGTCTTTACTGGAATGCATATGAAGCCTTACCTTATTCTGTCGGCTATCATACACGGGGAATGTGGTGGTGGCCTTGTTCTCGATGACTCTGATCAGATTGGCCTTGATGTCGGACAACCATATGGTCGAGTATCGGGCTGCATATATACATTTTTAAAATGTGGTAGAACGTCTTGTTGTAGAAACCTCACGCCCATCATCCGAGAATTAGAGATCCGTTGTGAAACCCGATTGTTAGTCACCAATGATAATATTCTCTTGCGGTTTCAATCTGTCCAGCAATATCTTAAACATGGCTTTACTTCAATAATTATGAAGCCGGTTGTACGGTAAGTTTGTCACTGTTGTAGGTTGTCCTTCTTCGGGATGGTGCTGACTAATGCCTCTGTCCATAATGTGGACTAATCTCTTGTCTACCAGGCCTTATTGTACATTGTTAGAAGAGATCTTATCAGGGCTTAGCCTGGATTTCGAAGTCAATAAATATATAGCGTGTGTCTCATATCAGAATAGAATTCGCACTCATACCACAGCATCAAGGAAGCCAGATGCAGGGTTGGCTTGAGATGACTTCCTAGCCCGCAAGTGTAGACTTTCGTGTTGCTCTAGCTGCATCTGGACTGCAAGCATGGCAAAGAACGGGATTACAAGAGATATATAAATACGTACACCGGAAACGAAACAAGCAGTCTCACAGACAGTTCAGACGATAATGTAAGGAGAATTTTTTGGATGATAGAACCAAGGACGATTTTAGGCACTCGTCGACATTAATAGACTGGAGTTGAATAAAATGTGATGTTAAATATGAAAGATTAAGCATAATCTGCACAACAATATCGTTAGAGAAATTTGAGTCATCACATGGTTATTTGTGCTTTAGCCGTTAACCTAAAATTAGTGGGCAGAAGAGATGAACAGAAAATATATTCGATAAGAAGCTATTAAAATATTAGTTACAATTTTAAAATAGGTATCAAATACCCAGTGAAAAACTTTTTATATATATATATATATATATATATATATATATATATATATATATATATATATCAAAGTATATAATTGGTATATACGGAATGAATTCAATAACCAACAATTACTATTCTTAAAAGAGTGCTCAATACAAAAGTAGAGCAGATATAATTATTTTTATAAAAAATTATAACATAAGTATGTTATAAAATCACTACAAAATAACTACAAAATAGCCATTTTGTTGAAACAAAATGGCTATTTTTAGTGATTTTATAACATACTTATGTTATAATTTTTATAAAAAATAATATATATATATATATATATATATATATATATATATATATATATATATATATATATATTCTTAACCTAAGGAAGCTGCACCTGCCCGTTTTCTACGTAATCATTTGAAATCATGCTTTTTTAACTGAAATCAAAAATTTTGACTCAGTTTCACTTATGAAATTGACTTCTGCAAATAACGTAAGAGTTTGGTGAACAAAAAAAAAATTAAAAACTCTAGATATAGAAAACAAAATGGCCAGAATTCCGTTAATAAGTCTCAGATTTGAAATTATTATTACATTTTTTTAATTGCCGTCTGCCATTCTTATCACCTTCAGCGCCATTTTCTTTTCACTGAAATGTGTAGGTTAAGCATAAAACATTGGATATTCTTCCCATACTTGATAGAATCATTGGTATTAGATACGTAAGTAAAGGAGAAAATGATGTCACTGCATAAATTTTTTTAATGGGTACGTTGCGTAATTAACGGGCTTTAGTACTGAACATATTAAAATGTGACACAATGTTTTATCAGAGACAATGCTTGTGATAAAAAGCAACATCAATAAGATGAAAGTTTAGTACAAATGAATAAAACTTGGTAGACAAGCTAGTCTGTATAGAAGACTGGATTCGTTAGTCTTGGGAAGGCACTATATCTAGGAGAATAGGACAATACTGATTTCGAAATCGAGGAGAAGGCGATAGGGAAAAGAGTGAATTACATTTCCAAGCTACATATGATTAGTATTATTTGATCTGGTCTCCCCGACTGGGACGGCATATGACACAAGGTCGAGTTTAACGTGGGGAACTCGAGCGCGCACACCCGGGCTAAGGACAAAAATTTCCCAGTCCCCGCAACCGTCCCTCTCTAGTGCAACGGAGGGGATGCAGCCTCGGGCAGCTGTTCTGTGAATACGCAACTGAGAGGTAATAAACCCCACCCGGCATGTGTCAGGTAAGTATATTTACCCCGTCGTCTCACTGCAGTCGAGTTGCGGCACAAGGTCGAGTGGGGAACGTGGGGAAACTGAGCGCGTACACTCAGGCCAAGGACAAAAATTCTCCGAGCCTTCGTAGACGTCGGTTGCGCTGTCCTCGGTGCGAGCATCAATGCCTCTCTACAGCAATAAGAAGGTGAAGCCTCAGGCAGCTGTTCCCCTGGGCTGGGCACCTCACAGTGTAATTTTCATCAGTTGCGCCTCTGTCCTCTGACGGAGCCGCAACTGAGTCGCACTCTGCCCGAAGACAGAGAGGCAATTGAGAGATGATAAAACCTTATCCGACATGTGACAGGTAGGGGAGAGGACAGTTGACAATAATGTTGAGAGAACATTTCTGATTTCAAATCAGTTGGGATTGGAGCTAGCAATCCCACTTCATAAAAACTAAAGACAACTACAGCAGTAGCTGCATCTTGCATGATGATGTTACATCACTATGCTCGACAAGGAGCCAACAGATTCAAGCCAAATCAAAGCTGACCATTATCTCTGTAATCTTTATTGGTTGTTTCTCACGACCTTATGTTAATCTAGGCTGAGGGAATATCATAAAAAAAATGCTAATATTTCGGTATATTTTGCAAAGCAATTAAAAATAAAAAATAAAAAAAATGTCTAATACAATTGTGGAGGACATGAAAAGGCAAAGAAGTGAATTGGTGCAACAGGAATCGGGGAAGAGAGAAAGAGGAATGTTTCGTTCACTACTGAAAATATCCTCGGAGACATTTTGTAGGACAAATTTCTGTGAAAGTTCACCAAGTGCGAATCTTTCTTGGCCTAGAATCGATTTTTGGTCGTAGTTTAACAGCAACAACAAATTGATTAATCAAAAATATCTGTCATTCTACCCATCCCTTACCTGGTGTTTAGAATCAACTTGTGGAAAAAAAAATGAAGGTGTAAGCAGGAAAAGAAAGACTTTATCTAAAAAGAAAGAAAGAGAAAAGAAAGAAAGAATTAATGAATAAAAAGAAGGATAGATAGATAGATTCAGAGAAAGATTCAAAGGACTAATTGGTAGAGTAGGCCAGAAGTTAATCGATATTATCGGAGAAGGCCGGAAGTTCATCGATAGAGGTGGGAAAAATGTCGGGAAACAAGGCGAGAAAGAAAAAAGAAAAAAGTAAAAAAAAAAACACAAAAAAAAAAAACAAACAAAAAAGCAAAAAACCCGTTTTATTAATAACATTAAGGTGGCCAATACAGCATTTTCATCTTTTTCTCTTGTAACCATTTTTCCTTCTTTTCTTTATCTATTTAACTTATAAGTTTTTATAAAAAAGCTGTAACGGTGATTAAATTACACAATTAGATTCTTATGATCATTGATATTTTCTAACTTTATCTTTATAGAGCACAAACTAAAAGATAGACAAGTAGTAGTCGGAAGATTGTGTTATGACAAACTTCCGACTGAGAGCCTTGAAATTCGAATTCTTGGCTTGAGGTGTTAAATGACTTTTAACACTAGGGTTAGAATCAATGTCAGAATTTCGAGTTTTGAATCTAAATCTGATAAACCTTATTTCGAAAATTGGTGTAACACTCTTTTTATTTGTTACACATATACTTGTGACTAAAGCAAGCCTCTAGAGTTTCGTGTTGTATCTGACTCTCAGGCGTGATATGAAACAACGTCATCTGATTGTGATCGGAAACTTGGTTAATCATTTATTCTCACTTGTTTTATTATTCAATTTTTCTTGTGTCCTTAAAATTTTCCTTAATTGAGATTTAAGTGATTGGAGAAATTGTCCATTAGGGATTATTGTCCCGAGTGCTTTCGCCTAATTCTTTAGCCACTTTCAAGGGGGAGGATAATTTTCGAGGTGAGAAAAGATTAATATATTTATTTTGTTCCTTCTTTTGTGGTGTATGAGAGTTTAATTCTTAGGGGAATTTTTGTTTAGTTTCCGAACACAACCAAATCGCTTTGGGTCCATTCGAAAATAATACCTTTTGAGGAAGAAGTGTTCTTTTTGTAATTAGACGTGCTTCAAATATTTTTAAACATTTTTTTAAAAGAACAAATCTCCAGAAAATTTCACTTTATTCTGAAAATTAAGCCACCCTTCAATTACAACTGAAAATACAAAAAAATATAAAATTTAGGAAAACTGATTAAAACATACAAAATATTGTTTGACACACACACATACACGCACCACGCACGCACACACACACACACACACACACACATATATGCGTGTGTATAATTTTGAAATATGTAGATATATACATTTTCGAAATAAAACGGTATTCAAGTAAAGTGATCAAAACTGAAAGCAGAGTAGAAATTAAATTACAAATAAAATATTATTTGACCACTTGCTACTAAAGGCACATCTCAATTAATAACTTACCTGTTTAATGATTCCCGGACTTACGACCAGCTATGAATTCTCATAAAATAAAAACACATAGTATGCCTGAAATAGCGGTTAGGTACAACTTCTCATTTAGCGACCAGTTCATTAAGCGACCAGTTCATTTAGCGACCAGCTCATTAGAATAGAATCTAGTCGTTGTGAGGAGAGCCAATACTGCAGTTTCATTTTTACAGTACAGTTAAAGGAGCAAATATAAAATTATGAATGGAGGGAATTACAGTAGTAATGAATGGAAAAATACTATTTTACCTTCTATTTACAATTATGATTAGCTCCTCCTGTACCGCTCCGGTAAGTACCTGACTCCTTATGCTATCCTCTACCTTTACAGGAGACAGATCTGACCGAAAATGGAGTACTTTTGTCATATTTAGGCGGAAACTGACCAGTGCTCACTTCCCAGTCTTGATAGAGTTGAAAAGCGTCTGCGAACCCTTGCTGGAGAAGAATTATTTCCTGCCCTCCAACTTCCCTTTCAAAGGCGGGATGTGGCGAGTCTCTCCCTGCTCTATCTCTACTACCAGCGAAAGTGCCCGGGTGAACTACAATCCTTGGTTCCGCCAGGCCTAACCCTTCACGGCTAGCACTCGCCATACTTCTTAGATAATAGCAAATCACCCACATTCCCTCCGTATTGCATCGGTGAGAAGTAAGTTCCCCTCAAACAGCTTCTTCCCGCGAATCAATGCCGCGTGGAACCAACTCCCAACACGATGTTTCCCGGATCACTACAATCTTAACCTGTTCAAGTCTAGCGTTAACCGTTATTTACTTCTTCTATCCATATAAACTAGTCTTTAACATAACCCTCTACCTCAGTGGCCCCCAGGCCTTGTACACGGTGAACCTGAATATATATATATGTAGGTATATATATATATGTATATATATATATATATATATATATATATATATATATATATATATATATATAGGTAGGTAGATAGATAAATAGTTAATACTAACTTAAACATATGCAGTAATACAGTATGCTCAATATAAGCGCAGAGATGACATAAAATATATTAAAAATATATCAACTTATGATTCGCACTGAACAGGGTGAAAGTTAAGTTGCTGGGGTTATATATATATATATATATATATATATATATATATATATATATATATATATATATATATATATGTAACAGGTAATTCCTTAAGCAATATTCGAAATCTGATAGCGATAGATTGAATGAGGTTTCATTATTCCAAAAGGCCTGATAGACATCCATACTATCGGATCACCCTCTATGTAATTTCCGAAATCTGATAGCGATAGACTGAATGAAATTTTCACTATTCTAAAATGCTTAATGATATCAACACATGCTTATACGCATTACTGCCAGTCAATCTTACGATTGCAGCTGACATCTATTGTCAGCAAATAAGGTGTTTCCACATTGCTTAGAAGGAAAAGAGACCTATGTCGATCAGTTGCAAATGTGTGATAATCCATCATGATAATGTATGACTCTATACAGTAAAGATCTTACAATATTAAATACTTCAGCCTGAGAAACATTCAACACACTCCTTAGTCTTCAGATCTTGCTTCATTTGATTACAACCTATTCCTGAATCTACAGAACAAACTTGATGGGCGTATTTTAAAGCCACACAAAATGTCGGAAATCTGACCATAATCTCATTGCATCAAACCAAAAGACTATTACTGAAATGGCATGGGAATCCCTGAAAGATTTCTGAGATGGTGTGATTGGATATTAATGAATAAAAATCTAATTAAACATGAATCTTGATATTTTCCATTTAGATATCATTTAAAACTTAAATATGTATTAAGATCAAATATGGATCGAAATCTGACAGGTTGATAAAATAAAACAGTAAATAGGAAACGTATATCAATCTAACATTTTTCACTTTTATTAAAGCTTCGTCAGAATTTGAGAGAAAACAGACAAAAAGACAGAAAACACTGGTATTTCCAATTATGTTTGGTTCAGTTCTCATTGGTCAGACACGTGTCACGTGCATTAAAACAATTAAATTCTATGTGTATGTAGTTTTGTGGAGATTTTTGTATGTCTATGCGGGCAACGAATGGTAATCTGTATTTGTAATTGTTTGCGTGTGTTCAGTTGGGATTTTTATCCCCATCTTTGTGAGGTCAACCCTCGCAACGAGGAGTTGCAAGATTCTAGTTTATGTTAGCCTGTTTAAGAATATATTCTTTTTATTTGATAGATATAAGTTAGAATCTTTAAGAATGGATTGAAATAAAGATGGTGATGAAATGTAATGTTTTAGGCGTCTATTTATAGTTTGTAATAATGTTATTATTAAGTTTTCAATGTATTTTCTCCTTAAATAATTATGTTCTTATTAAATTAGGTTGGCAATACTGAAATCAAAGTTATATCTAGCAGTGTTTCGATGCAAAACGAGAGAGTTTGATTGATTGTCCAAATTCAAATCTCTTTTGTGTTCGTAGATGCGGGCTTTTATCTCATGTGATGTTTCTCCCAAATAAACATTTTTACATTGTAAACAATTTATTTGATAAATCCCGGCATCTGAATCAGAGTTGGGTATATTTTTCTTCGATTGTCTTGGTGATAACGTTCATAGAAATAGGGATGACTAATTTGTTTGAGAGTTTAGTAGAAAGTGTGCTGGAGGGAAGGATTATGAATTTTCGTGTAATTTTTGATAGAAGTTTTATCGGTGGCGTCTTTTTGGCTTTGTGGATTTGTAAGCTCGTTTTTTTTTTTTGAGTTGATGATAAAATGATGTGGATAGTGCAGAAGTTTGAAAGTTTTCTCGATATATCTCACTTTTTGATTTAGTTATTCCAGGCTACATATCCTCTAAGGGCTCTAAGGTAAAATCCTATGAATAGTTAAGATTTTATTTTTGGTTGTGTTGGGAATAGTAGTTTGCCATATACCTTAAAACCTAATTTCTCATTGTTGCATAAACAATGTTGAGGAAAGGTAGAGAATTGTTTATTTCAAATTCGTGTGTGAATTCAATGTGAGGTTCAACCTTATTGAATTTCATTATTATGTCTAATAGGGCTGTACCTTGGGGACGTCATCTATATATCTGTTTGGTATGATGTACCTACATGGACCGGATTCTAAGAATTTTAGAAAAAGGTAAGCGAGAACACCACTGATAAGTGACCCCAGAGGTAACCTGAATTTTTGTTTGTAGAGAATATTGTTGAAAGAAAAAAGAAGAAATTAGTCATTAGTTTGTATATATTTATAATTTTGTGAACGGGTATCGGAAGCTTTTCTTTGGACTTTTTGAGGTGGTTTCTCAATATATTGAGGTATTTCGTGAAGGGTATGTTGATGTATAATGATTTGATACCTATGCTCGTCATGGCCATGGCTTATGGAAGCCATGGCCATGACGAGCATAGGTATCAAATCATTTGCATTTCGTATCAATCGTTTGCATTTCGTATCAATCAAATCATTTGCATTTCGTATTCTATGAATTAAGTCACCAGAGTGTTTGATAAATGTTGTGTTGATGGTTCATAGGAAGAAATTATTTTTGAGATGGTTCAAGCGAATTTGTGGAGTGCAGTGTTGATACCGGACACGATGGGTCTGATTGGTATGTCGGGTTTGTGT